AATTTAGCAGTCTCCTCTTTGGATGGGTTTCGGCTACCCTCCATGGCTATTGTACATACCCTGGCTCGATTGTGACAAAGGTAATTTTTTTTATTTTGTGCTCCTTTTTAGGAACCTTCTCGCCATCCTCATTTGGGTCCCACTCAGTGGCAATTGTTGCCTGGTCAGGTATGCTTTTACAAATCTGCACTAGTTACCATTAGACTGAAAACTTAATTTTCAGTAGCAACGAGCTCTGTGAAGATGGGGTGTTCCAAAAGACCACTTTGGTACTTTCTGGGTGGTGAACAATTTTTCTATATCAAATATGATATACAGTACTGGACTGCCACTCATGGACTATCATGAGTAAAGCATAAACGAACTTTGCCCATTTCTGTTAATCCCTGGATTGAACAAATCAGTGTTGATTTGCTTTTCAAAATAGGGAACATAGTTCATTTATTCTACTGTCTCCAGATCAACATTCCTCAGGAATTTCCAATGTGAGTCCCTCCCTCTCTTCTAGTGGAGCAAGGGAGTCCTTACCACTTTCAGTTTCCAGTCTCTGGAGTGGTGGATAGAGGTTTATTCCTCCTGAGTGATGTTTGCACTCTTTATTCCACTCAAGGAAAAGATGGCAAAGCTGGATACCCTCCCACCCTTAACCCTGGATGGTTTTCCCGGGTGTCTAGTGGGGAGGTAGACCAGTCTATGTGGGAGCCTCCTCGTAATTCCAGTTCAGAGATGACACTTCACTATCTGGTTGTGTGAGTGTGGCCCTTCTTTTTGGTCATTCTGTTACTTCCCATGATCATGGAAGAGGGTCATCGATTCTACACACGGAGCATCACATCCATGAGACATTGGTTGAACTTCATTTGTTTCACATCCTCTTCATAATTTCAGGGGCAGGAGATGTTACCTTGCCTTCCAGGTTAAGGAGCTAAGATTTTGGTTCGTAATCACAGACTGGATGATCTCTGTTCCTTCTGGTTAAGTGAGGCATGAACTGGCTCCATAATTCTGAGTTTGTTGCATTCTGTGCTTCTTCAGGTTGGGGGAAGACTTGTCCAGTTGGGTGTTGCTTGCCTTCTCTTTGTAATCACGGTGGCTCAACATGCAACATTCTGTAACTTTCAGGTTGGTTGTTTGGGTCCTTAATTCCGAGTTTAGTTTTTTGCATTTTGTGCTTGCATTCTCTTTGTAATTCTGGTGGCTCAACATGCAACATTCTGTAACTTTCAGGTTGGTTGTTTGGGTTCTGAATTCCGAGTTTAGTTTTTTGCATTTTGTGCTTGCTTCTCTTTATAATCCCGGTGGCTCAACATGCAACATCCTGTAACTTTCAGATTGGGTACCCTTCATATAATATTCCTATTATATAATTATATAATATTGTGCTCCCCATGCTCTAGCCACTACACCTTGGATCTAGCTTTGCATCCACAGCCCTGTAATTTGAATGACAAGATGTGGAATCTTGTGTGTGTGGTTCAGCCTGGACGAATCTCATGGACTCTGTAGCTGACTGGCCTTTACCGCCCACATTTAGATTTCATTTTATCTGGGCAAAGAGCATATTTGTTCCAGAAGTAGTGCAGACTCCCACTAGTTTGCTTTATTATATCTCAATTTTGCACACCTGTTTTTCTATGCAGACACTTTCTGTGTGGATCTTGCCCTCACCTGCCCCTCCACCTGGTCAATGTGAGATTTTAGCTAAGGTGGTAGTGAAAGTGGTTTTTGGAAGTGTACATTTTTCTATACTGAAAATTATTTCTGATAATACTTATCTCCTTTATTATTATCCTGTTCTTCCTCCCCAATATAGCCAGTGTTCAATCTCGAAAAAGTGAATAAGAAAGAATAACGGGGAGCTTATATACCAATCAGATATTAAGGGCACATTGACATAGGTGGAGAGAGTCGCAACATTAAAATTGCTAGGGGTGATATAGTGGTGTATAAAGACTATAGCAAGTGAGGTAGAATTTGTACAAAGGCTTAGATGGGCAAAGAAGAAAATGTGAGAAGAGGTAAGTATTATCGGAAATACATTTTCGATATAGAAAAATGTAAACGTATGTGCAAAACTTCTAATGCAGTTGTGACACAGTTTTATACAGTGTTTTTGTTTAATCTAGGAGGTCAACTGTTAAAAGTAGAATGATAACATTAAAAGTATTATAGTTTAAAGTGTGAAGTTACCTTAGTTTGATTAATAAAACTATAGAAGATTACATATTTTGAGTTGTAACATGTATACAGTAACCTTTATTAAAGATTTTCATGTAATGTATGGAAAACTGTTGTGCAGTGCATATAAGGAATGATTAAATTTGGTAATAAAGCAAAATTAGTGTTATATAATAATGTCCATTTCCTTCTTTAGTACAGTTCTGACAGTAGATGACCAGTCATGTGGTCTGAAATACAAGGTATTGGTCACTCAGTATATGCTACACGCATATATATATAGTGACCTTACATGGTTATGTCTCAGTTAGAATGCTTTGAAGAATTTGGATGTTACACTCAGGAGAAGATGAACGGAAGCCAGCCAGTCACAGAATGGTTGTTACAGAATGTATGCTCCCCCCAGGCTGATGTTATAGTTTTTCATATTCCTGAACAAGGCAGACAGATGATTGTTAATTGTTGCTCACAAAATCGAGAGATTCCTGCTCTGAGATTGAATGGGATGTTCACAGTTGAGTTTTGATGTTTTTTCAGTCTAGAGATATTAAGACTTTAAAAGTCAACCCATAGGCAGATATCTGTTGAGATGTGTGCCATCACAACAATGCACAAACTAAAAAGGGTATCAGAATCATCTTCAATGGACCAGTAATACATGTTGAAGTATTGAATCATCTTCAGTGGACCAGTGATACATGTTGATGTATTGAATCATCTTCAGTGGACCAGTGATACAT